CCCCAAAACCCCAAAACCCCAAAACCCCAAAACCCCTATGATTTAAACCCAAATTGGGCTCAATAATATAAAAGAATACTACGTATGAGTAATAATGGTGCTATAATTGAGCAAAGTTTTGTTCAACAGGAAGCCCTGTTGTGCAAGATTTGCTACCTTCCTTGTCAAAGGGAATTGCTAAAGACTAACTCAATCTGAGTTTTGCATCAAGATCGCTCAGATACTGTATGAGGGTTCGAAATATGTCAAGAGTGATTTCTCCAATGGGTTATTGTTAGGATCACAAAGGACTCACTGAAAGATATAATAGAGATTCCCTGTCCAAATCATAACTGCAATAGAAAGATCAATATAGAAGAAGCTCTGAAGGAGCTTGATCTGGATAGAGCAGAGCATATCCTGGACAAGCTTATTAATGTATACATCTGCAACCAGCACGATGTGAGAAAATGCCCGAGTTCATCCTGTAATAATGCAGGGATCATCACCACAGAACCATGACATCAGAGATTAGAGTGAGAATGATGCCAATACAAATGGAAGGATATCACCCAGTTTACTGTGAAAGATAAGCTGCAAAGAGTAATATTTGGACAAACTACCTATCTGTCTAAGTTTCTTAGCTATCTTCATGAAGTATATAAAGGTGAGCCATGTCCTGAATGAGGTATTGTTATTTTTAAAGATGGAGGCTGTCCCCATATGATCTGACCAAAGTGATCTTTTGAGTTTTGCTGGGACTGCATAGGCTATTTCCCAGATTACGATCATAAGCAAGAGACATTCTGTCCGCTTAGGAAATTTATCTTTATCCCAATGCTTATTTCTGTGCTTTTGATGGTGAACTTGAAATTAATATGATCCTCTTCTGTGTATACCTCAATCTTGGAATGTGCTGTTCTTGTAATTTGCAAAATTATAATCATTGCTTTACTACTAATCTCAGCTCTTCTTGAGTGGTTGATCATTTACAAATACAAGCGAATGAGGAAATTCAGGCCGAACCATAGAGGAAAGTCCTACTGGCTTGTAGTATCTGCCCTTATCGGCTACCCCATATTTTGGTACTTCATGATAAGTTTCTGCAATGAGAAGTTAAGCCTGACTTACTTCATAGTATCCATGGTATACTTCCTCGTTCTGATGGGTGCGACATACCTAGTTTTCAAAATCTGTACGATAATCTTCAAAAAGCTCAAAGGAGACCACTCACTGAAGTACCTGTTATTCCTGTTCTCACTTGGGCCATTCTACTTAGTTTTCAGACTTATTTTCAAAGGCGTGAAGAAGATCAAAAGATCCTAGTGATAATTTATACTTGTAAATATTGTTTGAGGAATCAACAGCTTGTCCCCATCACGGGGTTTTGGGGTTTTGGGGTTTTGGGGTTTTGGGG